TCTCCCCAGGAAGTGACTACAGCCAACACACCCTGCAGTCTCTAAACTAGGGGTCGGAACGTTCGGCACGCGGCCCGCCAGGGTGCTTACCCTGGCGAGCCGCGTGCCAAACATTGCCGAACCCTGCTCTAAACACTCCTCCCCCTACTCCTAGGAGTGTCTACGCTTTCGCAGCAACCCTCACTGCTTCTAAATTCCTGTCTTTATATTTCCTGCCCAGCTCATTCCTCCACAGCTAGGCTCCCTTATCCACTCAGGGGATTAGGTGCCCACCTGATTCCCCTCAGCTGTGGCTTGTCAGGTTAGTCAGTCTCCTTCTTGGCCCTCATTAACCATAGCAGTGAGTGTGTGAGGGAACACCCCATCACATACCCTCCCACTCAAGACTGCCACCCAGGGGCAGGGGTGCTGGAACAATTTTTTATATTGGGGTGCAGATGATAGAAACCATGCATTTGGTATTTGTTATTGCTACTTCAAGCCAGGGGGTGTGGCAACACCCCTACTTCCAGCACCCCTGTCCACGCAGGGAAGGGGGCAGGGACCTCCTCCCCTGGAGCTGTTGCAGTTGGGCCTGCAAGTCATCCCTCTCATGCTCCAGGTCTCCCACAATGAGGAGCAACTTGCCATTCTCCTCAATGGAGTCTCTGAACTTCTGCCTCTGGAATTCTTGTGCTACCTGCAAGGCCAGCCTGGTGGCTTTCAGCTTCTCCTGTAGCCCTAGCCTTTGCTCTACAGACTCTCCTGACACCCCTTCTCCCTGGGTCTGAGTTCCCAGCTCGCCTCCTTTAGCCTCTGTACTGGTCCCCACATCCATTTAGCGTGGCCTCTAAGAGACTCTTCTTTCTCTCCAATCTCTCTTTTCTCTTCTCCCTTTCAGCCTTCTCCACTACGTTAGTGTACCCCGCTCTGAGTATCTGGCTCTTCTTGGTCCTTTTTTTTGACCCCTTGCCCCTCACTTTTTTCTCATCCCCCATCCTTCCCTGGGCTACAGTTCTGCTTGTGAGGGCACTGCCCCTTCACATGCCCTGGCTCCCCACAGGTGAAACAAGCACCCCACCTTCCTGTTCTTTTCACAGGTCGGGCATCTTGGGGTTTTCCTGCTCTCTTTCCCTTGGGGCAGGATTTCTTCTCTTCCCAACAAGGGGCACCTTCTCTTAAAGCGTCCTTTCCACTCACAGATTAACACTACTCTGCTCAGACTTCTGGCTTCCTGACTCTGGAACCTCACTTCTTGCCCAAGCCTCTCTGGTCCCAGCTCACTGGCTGGAGGGTCTTGAGCAAATAACGTTGCTCTTCAGCTAGCTCCCTCGTGTATTCCTCCAGGTATCTCTATGCCTCCTACTGTTGCTAGTGGTTCTCCAGGATCTGCCTCTTTAGGCCCTGGATTCCCTTTGGTTGCTCATCAACCCCCTTCAGTGGGGGCAGCCACTCTGAAGGCCAGCTGGGGTGGGTATACCTACTTTCTGCCAAAAAGACCTCCGCACACTGTAGTGCCATTGTCTCTTTACCCCTTGCCTTTCCCACTCCCCTTGTATCAGGGTGGCTATCTTAAACAGTTTCTCAGTCTCTCGCACCTCCCCTTATATCAGGGGCAATTTCCTGCACAATCTTTCAAACTCTCCTTGGGTCAGGAGTGAGTATCATACCCACATTCTCTGCCATATTGTCATGGGGCGCATCACTCACCGCTTGTGGTGCCTCTTGCTGGGGATTAGCTCATTCAGTCAATACCCTCTTCCAGTTTGCATGCCGTCACTCCAACTCTCTGGCTGGCCTGCAGCCCCCCCTCTGTCATTCAGCTCTCCGGCTAGGTTACTCAAAGTTCCCCCTTCCGGGGTATAGTTCCTCAGTAGTCCTAGGCAGCTGTGGCCTGTCAGGTTAATTAGCCTCCTTATTGGCCTTCATCAACCCTAGCAGCAGAGTGTATGTCTGTGTGGGGTGGGAACAGGACACCCCATCACAACTTCCCATTTTAAAAAACCTACACAAACTCTGAAGAGGAGGAATGATGGAAAAACACTGCTTCAGAATCA